GTAATGTGCAGGTTTTACCACAGTCTTAAAGTATTAATTGAAGCTCCTGTCCTTTTTCTTCTTTGCAAACTTATCTCAGCTTTTTGAATTGTCTCTTGCAAGAAACTCCCAGGAAATGAGAGGAATAGAAAGACAAAGTTAGGAAGTATCTTAGGACCTTGTTAAACTAGAGTTGTTTTGGAGCTAACACTAGTCATGTGCACCTGGAGTACACGATGTTTTAGGATCTTTTTCAGAATTCACTGCCTCCTGCCCTTCATCATTCTCCTGTCTCAATTCGTAGTACAGTTCTTAGATACACTCCCTTTCCCCTGATCAGGACTGTGGTCGTTCTAGAGTCCTAGTGCTGGTGATCTGGCTTAACTGAAGCCAGTTTTCCCAGTAGGTAATGCCAATTAATCCCTTCTGTTACCTTAAGAGTCTGTTCTGAATCAGTTTTCTTTGCCCCTGAACTAAGTGATCCTTTTACTATATATTCTATTCCATCTTCTTGGTTCCTGGTTTCTGAAAGACAGCTATGTCTTCTCTGGCCTCCCAAAGATTTCTCCCCTGAAAATTGGCTCACATAGTCACTTCCTTTGTCTTTCTAACACTTTCTTCTTTCTGACCAGTTTTAGTGTTCTTCCATGTCTTATGTGGAACCTAATTCTTCTTTTCGGTCTTAATCACTTTCTCTGCCTATTTGTTCTTCTGTTGTGCCTCTTGGGTGAAGTTTTTTAAAAAAGTGAGAAATATGTAGCTTATGGTTATAATTGAACACTTAAAATTTGCTAGATCTTAGGCTAAGTGTTTTATATTGATATGACTTTGATCTTCTTCATCATCTTATGAGGTAGGTATATTTTCTTGTTTTATCAAGTAGGAAACTAAAGCTTGGAAAGTTTCGATTTATCCAATAACATAACTAGTAAAGGGTTATGCTGAAATTTGAAACCAGACCTCTGTGACACCAGAGCCTAAGATCTGGCTCTTCAGCTCGAGTGCATGTAAAGCTGGCATCTGGACTCTTATGGGTCCATGTGGTGTCTGCCATCTTATTTCCTCCAGAATTGCTAGTCATGGGATATTTAAACATTTCTAAATAATTTTCATCTAGTGTGGGGGGGTCTCTTGTTTTTGGGAGGAATGCGTGCGATATGCATTGTGTTCAGGCCTTGTATCCTTGTGCCCACCCCTCCCAGGCCCCTTCATGGCTGTGCTCTTTGCCAAACTCGAGAACATGCTGCAGAACTCCGTCTATGTCAACTTCCTGCTGACGGGGCTGGTGGCCCAGCTGGCCTGTCACCCCCAGCCCCTGCTCCGCTCTTTCCTGCTCAACACCAACATGGTCTTCCAGCCCAGTGTCAAGTCCCTGCTGCAGGTGTGCGATGCATGCATGCATGGGTGCGTCCAGGCTCCACGGTGGGCCAGGCCCGCAGCTGGAGTGACCTGGGTGGGCTGGGAACAGGCCCAGTGGGACTAGAAAGGACTGTGTCAGACTAGAGCCACCCAGAAATGTCATGGAGTTGTGCTTCATAGGTGCTGGGCTCTGTGAAGAATAAGATTGAGAGCTTTGCAGCCTCCCAGGAGGACTTCCCAGCACTGCTATCCAAAGCCAAGAAGTACCTCATTGCCCGTGGCAAGTTGGACTGGGCTGAGGGCACTGCAGCAGGACCTGCCCCCCGCCGCTCCGATCCCCTAGGTGAGGCCTATTCTACCACCACCACCACCACCACCACCCCCCACCCCCCCTGGATAGTTTATTAGCCCAGGTTATTGAGCTCTTATTAAGGGTGAAACTTTGTGCCAGGAACTGGAGGGCTGTAGAAAATTGAGTCTTAATATTTGTAGAACATAATTCTGTCTATTAAGAGCCAAATCAGCAGCCACCAGCAAAAAATGCTCTAGGATTTATGGAAAGGCAAGGGAACAGAGTAGTCTCCAGGTTGAGATATTGTTACAGTTTGGTAAAGGACATGGCATTTAACATGGGCCTTGAGAGATGGGTAGGATTTAGGTAGACAAAGGAGTGGGAGGTCTTTATTCTTTTGTCAGGAGACATCCTGGACTATTTGGTTGGAGCAGGGGATTTAAAAGGTGGGGGAACAGTTGGTGGTTAAGCTAGAGAGATTTGGCCAGAGCAGAAGGTTCTCAGAGTAGAAGTTGGGCTGGGTAGAAGTTGTGATATTTTAGGCATTGAGAAACCACTGGAGGTTCTTCAATCTTTAAGTGGAGAGATGAGTATTTTAGTTCAGGTGAATTGGAGCTAGGGAGAAAGGGAGTCAGGAAGAGTAGTCAGGAGGCTTCTGCCATAATGCAAATGTTAACCAGGAAGGCTTGAATTAGAATAGTGGAGATAGAAAGGAAGCATTGATGAGGTAGAAAGGGAAAGGAAATATTGGCAGAATTTGGTGAGTGGTAGGGAGTATAAGGAAGAAGGAAGAATTAAGTATGGCTGTGAAAGATCTTTCATTTAACAAGTATCTGAGCACTTGCCATATGTGCTGGGCATTGTCTTTGGTACAGGGGATTCAGGGCAGCACAAGACGTGATTCCTGCCTTCAAAGAATGTGAAATCTGGAGAGTGACTAGAGGAATGTAATAACACAGAGAGCAAGGTCCTGGAGGTGGTGAAAGTGATGGGAGCTAGAGCACCAGAAAAGGATTAACTTTGGACAGCAAAAGCCTTTTTGTTTTTTCTTCCTTTGAGGCAAATGAGAGAGCAAGGAGGAAATGACATGTGCCAATGGAGTTGTCAAGTGTGGAGGGGAAAGTTAGAATTTCATGACATCCTTTATTTGCTAATCAAAATGGAGGCAAAATGATATGCTCAGAGCATAGATGAGAGCAGAGGTGAAATGGAGGCTTAAGGAAAAAAATGGGTTGGGAAGAGAGTACCACAGGGGTTATTGCACAGTTGCGAAGACCCAGGCAGAGGTTCCTTGCATGATTTCCTCGTGGTCTAGTACTGGGAGTATTTTTTGCTTCTGCAGTTCTGGCACTGGGGTCACTGTGGAGGGGCCAGTGATATAAGGTTAGGTAAGACACAGTCCAAGCCCTTAAGCTCACAGATTAGTGTATGAGGTAGAAAACATAGAAAGAAATTATTAAAGTATGTTGAGATAAGGGCAAAATAGGAAGTCAGTGGAAGGAAAATCAAATGAGGTTTCCCAGAGAGGTGAGGATAGTAAAATTAAGCCAGGGTGGATGAAAAAAATAGACCAGAATTTAGGGAGAGGGAACTATGGAAGCATGAAAAGTGCCTTCCAAGAAGGTAGGTGTGAACGTACAAGCTAGTTGGGATGTGGAGAGTTTGAGAAGAGATTGGAGTGTGAGCCTGGTTGTGAAGGGCTCTGAATGCTGAGTTTAATAGATTTGTATAGCATCTCTGTAGCTAATATTAGTGGTAGGGAATGGGAACCATTGTCATCTAGAAGCTAGAGTCTAGGTAGTGGATATGGATCCAGACCCTGGAATCTTGGCAGAAATTTAGAGGAGAGAGGACAATGTTTTAAATGGCTCAGCTGGCTCAGGCTAAAGCTGACTTGAAGTTGTCTGGCTGCAACCAATGGGAGGGAGGCTTTGGTGGTAATAGGACAGGGACTGCTGAATGGTGGAGTGGTGGTACAGAAGAGCAGATCTTGGAGGGACAATGGAGTGTGACAGAAGTGAAATAGCCATGAACTATTGCATATGTAGCCCCTGTGGGTACTGAAGAAGAAGAGGATGTGGGTCAGGTGTTATAGATAGGCGGGGAAGATGGAAGTGGTTGATTCTAGTTCAGAAGGGTGATGGATAGCATGGAGTAAGGACATGTTATGGACTGAGGAGAAATAGCTTGGTGGTGGTAGAACAGTGAATGGAAAGAGGAGAATTTATCAGGGTGAGGGGGCGTGGAGAAAGAAGGGATCTTGGCTGAGAATGAAGTGCCTGAAGTGTTGACTGGTTAAAACTGAGAATGATGGTTGGCTGGGTGGGGAGGCCGGATAGAGGGGAAAAAACCTGGGCAGGCAGCATTTTGGTGTTAGAGTGAGAAGGAACCCTTCCCCACACTAGTCCTCAGAGTCATCTACAGGGACGGGATAGGAAATGGTACCTGAGGTTCATTTCTGGTCCGTTTTGTTCTTTTTTCCATTCCCTCAGAACCCTAGTGAAGAAGTCCAAGCGCCTAGGGGGTGGGGGAATCTCCTTTCCCAGACCAAGGGATGTTGTTCCCTGATCCCAATACCTTCATGATACCCCTGTTTATTCCCAGTGAAGAGCCGGAGGCCATCCTTGGGGGAGTTACTCCTGCGGCATGCACACAGTCCAACCAGGGCCCGGCAGGCGGCACAATTGGTCCTTCAGCCTGGGCGAGACGGAGCAGGACTTGGCCTAGGTGGGGGCTCCCCTGGGGCTTCAACTCCAGTTCTAGCCCCCCGGGGCGGGGCCCCTGAGCGCCAAGGTGATGCTCTTCGAGTCAAGAATGCTGTCTACTGTGCAGTCATTTTCCCTGAGTTTCTCAAGGAATTGGCGGCCATCTCCCAGGCCCATGCTGTCACCTCGCCTTTCTTGTTGGATACTTCAGAGGAGGGATCTGGGCTTCCCATCTCAGGCTTTGGGCCCCTCAATCCTTAACTTTCTTCCATGGACAATCAGGGACATGGGTGGCCTGGGCTGGAGCTAGGGCACAGGCTCCTTTTTATGTTTGGAGGCAATGGCAAAAGGACTTTTTAATTTATTTCAGATGAATGTTTTATGGAAAACTTGTTGCAATATGTATAAAAGGGAAATCTCTATTCTGTGCTCATTTTTATTTCCCACCTTTTTTCTATGGGGTTGGGGCCCCAGAAAAGGTTGTACATAGATGGGGAGGTGGTTAGGGGTATTTTCTCTTTGGTGAAGACTTTAATACCAGGGTTTCAAGGTACTCCTTATGCCCCTAGAGGGTGAGGGGACTTGAAGCCTAGGGAAAAAAGTGGGATTCTCCCCCTTCTCTGGACCCCAGAAGGAATAAGCAGCATGGGACCAGGATGGTTTGAGGGAAGCAGCAGCTGATGTTTATTGGGGACCAATATCCCTATGCCAGATCTTGGGGGCCTTGCCCCCTGCATCTCTTGCTTCAGCTTCACTCGTCGCTGTCGAACTCGGAGGACAGACCCTGCAGCAGGGGCAGGGACATGGAGTGCCGATCGGGGTCCCCGGGGTCCCCGCCCTGGGCTCCTGGTGGGGGGCTGCGGGGGCTGAAGAGCCAGTTCTCTGCCAGGATTGGGGATAGTAACAGCTTGACTCATGCCTTGGTCTTTCTGCCCCCCTAGTCCCTCCCTCTGGCCCTCTGTACCATCCCCACCCCCTCACCAGGACCCCTTTATTCCATCTTACCCTCTCCTGGTTCCCTCATTCCTTCTCCCTTATTAGAATTCTGTGCTGAGTCATGGATTCCCCGCACATTCCTAGGCTATAATCCTCATGCCCTCTCCCTCCTCTACTTTGTCTCTCCCATCCCTTTCATCTTCGTTTTCCCTAGCAGTACCTGACAGCATCTGGGGCCCCCTCCGGAAGGGGTTTCGGCCCTTGTAGGAGAATCTGGTGGGTCTGCCCTCTGGCCCTTCCTGGGGAGGTTGCGTAGGTGGGGCTGGGACAGGTGGGGGCATATCAGCAGCTTCAGAGGTATTGGCAGGTGCTGATGTAGGGGCCAGAGGTGGCATGATGCTGAGGTTGGGTCTGACCCAGTTGGCCCCATGGGGCAATGGGTCTTTGGTCAGAGGCTTCTGTGGTCCCAGCACACCCTTGGGCTGCAGTGAAAACTTGAGGCAGGAGAAGGCAATAGGCAGTGACTGTTGTAACCGAAGCAGCTGGGGCTCACGAGCTGCAGGCAGTAGCCCCAGCTGCAGCCAAGAGCAGGAGAAGACCTGGTAGATGACATAGATGCTGTGGGTGCTTCGGAGCCAGGGAAGAGTCTGCTGTAGGCTCACCTGCCCTGGTGGCAGTAATAGGAAGGCTACCTTCTTGCGCAGGCCACCCATATGTAGGTGGATCCGGCAGGGCTGCCCATCCAACAGTCGCATCTCTTCATAGATTGTCTCTGCTCGGCCATTTGGTGAGTATTCCCGAGTGCAGTGGGCAAAGGTACCCTCAGACCTTGTCTGCTCCAGGAGGTTTGGTAGCGGCCCTACTGGTTTCAGCGCCCTCCGGCCCTGCCGACCTGGTAAAGCCAAGCGGGTGTGGGCAGGGCGGGACTGTTTGACTAGCACGCCCAGTAGATCATAGCAGGCTGCATCCGACAGGAAAGGTACTGCCACTACATTGGACCCAAAGCGCTCCTCGATGACCTGCAGGTGTCCAGTTTATAGGTCAGGAACTGATTAGCGTCAGGAGTTAACTGGTTGCCTATTTTAGATTGACTCTCCCACCATTCACTATTCAATTACATCTCTACAGTGTGCTCAGACTTATACTTCCTGCTTATCTTCCAGTTCTCTCCTGTAGCAAAACCTTGAATGTCTACTATGTGCCAGACTATGCTAGATACTGGGGATACATAAAAGAATGAGACTTTGTCCTTGTCCTAATATAGTTCTGTCTAATGGAGGAGATAAAAATATAGACAGCTAAGTAAAATAATAGAGAGCAAGGTGTGAAGGAGATAAGAAGTAATTGGACAATCTTTGTCTTTGATGGAAAGAGGATCAAAGAAGGTTTTCAGGGCCTAATACTTGAGTTTTGAAGGAATTAGCCAGATAGGACAATGGTAAGTCCAGGCGGAGGGGACAACCAGTGAAAAAAACCTGAACTTATAAACCAGGAAGGGCACATTTAGGAATACCATTTCACGTTACTTACATGTAGGGTATGAAGAGGGAAAGACATACAGTTACTAGATTATGAAAGGCCTCGTGACTGTACTAAGGGGCTGGAATCTGTTCTGAGGGGAATGGGAAGCTACTTCAAGGGCTCTGGGTAGGAGGAACAGGATCAGATAGGTATTTTAGAAAGCTAATTTTTAATAGGAAGTCATAAAATGAGAGAGAGATCAGTTAAGAGTATTGCAGTACTCTACGCAAGACATGATTAGGCCCTGAGCTAAAATAATGGGGGAAGATATTCGAGATATTTAGGTTATAGAATTATTAGAGCTTGGTCACTTAGGAGGTATGGGAAAAGAAATTCTCAGGATCATTCCTAGGTGACCAGTTACATAGGTGATGTCATTAGCCAAGAATAGGTATACAGAAATAGGTTTGGAATGTCCATTCTTATACTGTGTGTGTAACTCTCAGTATATACCTTCTGCCCTAGCTGCAGGGGGTAGTTCTTTTAGGAAATTTGAGGCCTCATCTTTGTAATGTTCTAATATGCTTTTAGGAATTTTAGTCCCCCTGCTTTTGTCCTTTTTGTTTTGGCATTTTGGGGCTTGTAACCCAATTCTAGAAAGTTTACTTCATGACCAACTGTGAAGCCCTGTAAGATCTTCTCTAGTAATTGTACTTAGGTATTAGTGATCTTGACCCATTCAGGATTTTGTTGGCTGAGATTTCTTATTCTCTCTTCTGCTAGGGAGCAAGGGCACACAAAAGTTCCTCTTTGGGCCTCTTTCATATTTGAGCCCCATGCTTAAAGAACTGTACTCTACTCCCTACCTCCAGCTCCAGATCCCATGGCTGTGCCCCTACTAATGGCATTGCCCACTTTGCTGGCTTTGTGGTAGAATTCACCAATGGCCCCTTAAGGCCCCAAAACAGTTACATAAAGCTGTTTTGGAAGTGCTGCCCCCTAGCATAAGAGGAAGGTAGCTAACTCTGGAGGTTTTTTTTTTTTTTTTTGGAGACAGAGTCTCCCTTGTTGCCCAGGCTATAGTGCAGTGGCAGTGGCATCATCATTACTCCCTGCAACCTCAAACTTCTGGGCTCAAGCAATCCTCCTGCCTCAGCCTCCCGAGTAGCTGGGACTACAGGTGTGTGCCACCACGCCTGGTATATTTTTCTATTTTTGGTAGAGACGGGGTCCCATGCTCAAGCTGGTCTTGAACTCCTGAGCTCAAGCGATCCTCCTGCCTCGGCCTCCCAGAGTGCTAGGATTATAGGTGTGAGCCACTGCGCCTGGCCTGGAGTTTCATCTGTACTTTGGATAAGCTGAGGTAGCTTGAAGACTACTACTGTCTTTTATTACCAGGCCAAGGAAATAACTGGTGTTCTTTCTTGGTCTACATGAAAGAATTTCTCATCATTTCTTCTCCTTTGCTTCACTGAGACCTGGAACACTTTCTTTTGGGTGGGGACATAAGGTTGAAGAACAGGGCTCTGAGAAGGGCCAGTTGGGTTTCTAGGGATGAGAACAGAGTACTGGTGGGTTGACAGTTTTGGATGGAATGCGTTGCCCCATGACCATGAAATTATAGTCACTAAGCATAACTTCAGAATCTCACCCTATCTGTTCCTTTGGTGTCTAGGATCCTGTACAAATAAGACAAATGGGAGTGTCTCCAGGAGAGGTCCCTCTGACAGGAGTGTGACATTTAAAATACCTGGTTCTTACTGTCCAAGTTTCTGCTGAAAGGGTGAATCTATGGTTTAGCTGGAGGCTTTTCCCCAGCATATAGGTGTTAATTTGCCTGACCCTAACTCTAACCCTCCTTTTTGCCCTTGAGGTCCCCAGTGGTTATCCTAAAATAGGAAAAATAAGGAAGTCAGTTGCTCAGTTCTTTTTTCTGTGTTCTTGGTAAAGTCACCATTTGAGACTACTACCTGCTACTACTGATTTTTTCTGCTTCTGGGTAGAAGTTATGTAGACCTTAGAGGCCAGCAAATTTAGGTTTCCCAGGGGCAGCCCAGGAAAGTGGTGGTGGAAGATTATCTTCCTACATATACCTTGGTTGCTTTGAATTCTGAATGGGGAACTCTTTAGCTACCTCCTGTTTAGCCACATGTTTTACAGAGTGCCCAGTAAACTGTTAGTGGTTCTGGGGACAGCAAACCAGGTCCTTCAAAGGTGCCCTAATACTTAAATTTGTCCTGTACTAACAGTAATTTATCTTGCACATCTCTAGCCTGATTTTCCTGACAATTTTCCATTTAAATAGGATAGTGAGTTTTTCTGCTACTCAGATGGTGTAGCTTTCTGATAGTAGAAAGACTTCATTTACTTTCACCCTAATTCTGATTGATCTAGTCCAGGACCAACCTTCTACACTGCTGAAACCAGTTACTATAATACTTGGGAAGACCCTGGGCTCTCCTGTTTCTGTTTCCCTGGAAAGCTGGCTTTTGTGGTGAGCAGCTATCCCATTTGGAATGAGAGCTACATACCATTAAGGCTGCTTAGAGTGTGGTAGGTACTGCTTTAAGATGGTTTCTTAAGTTTGGTAGGCTGCCTTTTATGAATGCTTTAAATTAACTTTCCTTCATATCTCTTAGCCAGAAACTTATCCCTAAATTTTCCAATCTAAGAAATTTGCTGATATGTAGCCTGCAACTGACAAGTGATTTGGTGGGATTTGTTGGACACCAGCAACCCAGATACAGCTGTGATCTCCCTTCTTGAAATCTACATATTTTACTCAAAACCCAAATTTCTCATACTGTGGAAGTTAAGGAATAGGGAGTATAGTATAGGTGAAGGGGTTGAAGGTAAAGTCCAGGTTCTATAGGAAGCTTAAAGGGTCTTTTTTGATTCTCTTATACCTCTTTGGCCTCATTTTCACCCCTACTTCTTTGGACTCTGCTCTTGAGGACTATTTGCAGTTTACATACATGCATTTTTCTTTTTCCTCTCCTGGCTTTTGCATATGCTCTACTTTTAGTTAGTATGCTATACACTCACCCACCCACCTGCTCATTAACTCATTCAGATAACTTTATTAAACACCTTTTATGTGCTAGGTGCTCTTCTCCTTCTTTGTGTGAATAACTCCTATTTGACTAGCTAGAACGTTACTCTTTCTAGGAAGCCTTCCTGACTTCCTAAGGCCTACCCCTGACTTAGTGCTTCTCCTCTCTGCTCTCATAGCTCCCCATACTTTGCTTTTCAAGGAACGTTTCTTACTGTTTTTGCAATTGTTAATCAGTTTACTGCAGCACCTGGCACATAAGCAAGCACTGAGTAAATGTTAGTTATTGTCTTCAGGCTTCCCACCCCTTCCTACTCACAGGCTGCTCAGATCCATCCAGGCCACACTTTGTTACTTCTTCTTTAGCCTCCTTACTTTACCCACCTTATCCTTGATGAGGGTCCAAGTGGCATCAGCTTCATCCAGTGTCAGCAGGTGGGGGGTACCAAACAACATGGTGGGGTGTGGGAGGGATTTGGCAGGGCAGTGGCTGCTGCAGGAACCCCAAGCTGCCCAGGGAGGTGAGATCCCAGGCCTTGGGCTCTGAGCTATTGCAGCATGAGGTCATAGAGGTCCTGCTAGGTAATGGGGTCACGAGTAGAGAGAGGACAGTAACTTTTCTAGCCTCACTACAGCCTATAATTCATACTCTGAGTCACCTATCCATCCTCCTGCTTTAGGGGCAGAAAATGCAGGTATATGTTAGGGAGCATTTGTATATGTCTATGAGTATGTGTTTGTGTATAGTTCTTGTTCTGAGTTCTTTGAGGATACGGATCAGGTCTCTCCTCCCTTCAGCAGCCTCCGTGAAGTAATTTGCTATCTTGTTAGCTGCAGATAACTTCTTTGTGAGATTGGATGGGGATCCTGAAAGACATGGGAGAAAGTATAGTCACGTGCCACACTGTGATGTTGCAGTCAACAGTGAACCACATATATGTCAGTGGTCCCACACCATAAGATTATAATACTGTATTTTTAACGTACCTTTTCTATATTTAGATACACAAAAACTTACCATTGTGTAACAGTTGCCTGAAGTATTCAGTACAGTAACATACTGCACAGAGTTGTAGCCTAGGAGCAATAGGGTATACCATATAGCCTAGGTGTGTAGTAGGCTGTACCATCTAGGTTTATACACGTATACTCTGTGATATTTGCACAATGACGAAATCGCATTTCTCGGAACATATCCCCGTTGCTAAGCAACCTATGACAGTATAGACCAGGACTTATATTGAGAATCAAGCAGTGGTTCTCAACCTTGCCTGCACTTTGGAATTAATTGGGAGCTTTAAAAATTACTGGATCCTACCCCTAGAGATTCTTACTTAATTGATCTGGAGTGTGCCTGGGCATCATGATTTCTAAAAGCCCCTAAGGCAATTTTAATGTGTGGCTTAGGCTGAATCCCATTATTAATGGGTGGATTACAACTGCAATGAAAACTAGGTGTGTGTGTGTGTAGGAGGGTGCTATGCTAAGTAGTGACAATGTGGAGGGTAAGAATCTAATTGCAATAATGTTGCCCTAGTAACGTTAGAGAATTTTCAGCAGGTAAATTTGAAGAATTTATTTTTTTATGGTCTACTCCCTGTCCTTGTCTGATTTGTGTGTAGTAGTGCCTCTCCCACTCCCACTTCAATTCTTTTTTTTTTTTTTTTTTGAGACAGAGTCTCACTCTGTTGCCTGGAGTAGAGTGCCGTGGTGTCAGCCTAGCTCACAGCAACCTCAAACTCCTGGGCTCGAGCAATCCTACTGCCTCAGCCTCCTGAGTAGCTGGGACTACAGACGTGCGCCACCATGCCTGGCTAATTTTTTTCTGTATAGATTTTTAATTGTCCAAATAATTTCTTTCTATTTTTAGTAGAGACGGGGTCTTGCTCTTGCTCAGGCTGGTCTCGAACTCCTGACGTTGAGCGATCTACCCGCCTTGGCCTCCCAGAGTGCTAGGATTACAGGTGTGAGCCACCAGAGATCTCACCTGGTGTTTTGCTATAGAAGAGTGATTCTTTGAAGAACTTTCCAGTACCTACTTTCCCACTCTGTACCTTATCTATCCAAGGAGTCCTCTCTCTGAGTCCCTCTGCAGAGTCCCTTTTGTGCCCAGGAAGATCTCTTGTGTGTAGGGAGTACCCTCCTCTAGCCCAGCCCAACATGTAGATCTATCCCACAAAGTTGGCTGTCTTCTGAGCTGGCTGAGGTGGTATGAGTAGGGGCATAGGGAAGGGTGGGAAAGAGTGTTATCAAGAAAATTTTCCTAAAGGAGAAGATACTGGCCTCAGGGGAAGGAGGGTCTCCTTAGACAGAGTTATGGGTATATGGGTGCCAGGTCTTTGAGCAAAAGTTTGACAGTGGACATTTTCCTTTTTTCCAGGAGAGGAATTAATATCATATTTCTTTTTTTTTTTTTTTTTCCGAGACAGAGTCTCACTCTGTTGCCCGGGCTGGAGTGTCATTGTGTCAGCCAAGCTCACAGCAACCTCAAACTCCTGGGCTCAAGTGATCCTCCTGCCTCAGCCTCCCAAGTAGCTGGGACTACAGGCATGCATCACCACGCCTGGCTAATTTTTTGTATATTTTTAGTTGCCCAGCTAATTTTTTTTTCTATTTTTAGTAGAGACAGGGTCTTGCTCTTGTTTAGGCTGGTCTTGAGTTCCTGAGTTCAAGCAATCCTCCTGCCTTGGCCTCCCGGAGTGCTAGGATTACAGGCGTGAGCCACCAGGAGGCCCAATATCATATTTCTTGAGCTCTCCTGTGCTAGGGGCTGTGCCAAATACTTTGAATTCATTATCTTAGTTAATCCTTTTAGTAATCTCTTGAAGTAGGCACTACTATCCCATTTTACAAGCGAAAGAACAGGCTCAGAGAGGTTAAATAATTAGCCCGAGGCATACAGTGAGTTTATAGAGGATCTGGAATTCAGAAAAAAGTCTGCTTAACTCTTGCTCTAACCATTAAATGGTATTTTTGGTGAAGGGAGAAGCCAACATGTTCCTTCTGTTCATTTTAGTGTATGGTAGGAGGTGTCCATGCTAGGTGGAAAGTATAAAGTGGTTTAATGAAAAGGAAATGAGCAGGATGAGAGAAGACCCACAATGGACCAAGTCAGAAATTCCAAGTTTCTTGTTAAGACAAGTGAAACCAAATTCTTTCCTCCTAATGCACTTTTAGCACATTTTTTATTGTGGTTGACAAGGAGAGTTCACCTGGTGTAGTATAGTTGACACCTCTGTTCTCTCCAGGAAGGAATTCTGAATGAGACAGACAGAGGCAGAGTGAGAGAGACATATACAAGAACAAGAGTCATAGACATGGGGTAAAACTGACAGGCAGTGCAAGGAGACAGAGGTGCAGCAGTACAGAGACAATGAAAGTGATTGATAAGCAGAAACAGAGAATGATGCATATCCAGATCCCAGGGGGACTCCAGCTTGAGAAGGAGGTGGATGACGGAGGTACAGCGGCGGTGGGCTGTTGGTGAGGAGGACGAGGAGGGTCTCTTTACATCCTCAGTAGGATGAAGAGGATCTTGTTAGGTTTATTGTTCATGGATAGGGGCTAAGAGGGGAAACTATACTGATGAACTCCTCGGTCAGAAGCCCATACCTCTGTTTTCTTTCTCTTGCTGTCTGATTACCATGATTCTCTCGGCTCCCTAAATTTCATACTGCTCTACCCTGACATTAAGTAAATCTTTCTTTCTTTTTGGTTCAGTCTCAGTCTGAGACTGAAAGGTATGGAAGGAAAACAGATGACAACTGAGTCTTGGATGAAGTTGGTGAGCCCGAGGTCTCTGCTGTCTGGGTCATATCCTGCTCATAGGGTTTACCTTTGGTGTGGCGTGTTCTCGGGTCTCTCTGGGAAAGAGGCACAGATCATCAGCAGGATATCTGAGAGTGACCTGAGTGGAGAGCATAAGAGGAACAAGCAAATGGGGCTGTTTATCCAGAGAACATGACGTTCTCTGCACAAACCTCTCGGGTAGTAGAGAATAGTGCTGACAGCAAAGACTTGATAAAAAGCCCTAACAAGTCTCTTCACTTCTCTCAGGCTGCAGGGATAATCATACAAGTCTCTAATACCTATTCAAAACTTTTGGAGACAGATATGTTTAGGAATTCAGAATTTTTCAGTTTATAGAAAGGGAATATAGTATAAATATTATATATTAAGGAATAACCCAGTGGGATTCAGAACAGTGCCCTGTAATTAAATGCATCAACATTTCTGCCATTAAATGTATGTATGTTCATACTAAGATAAATACTATAAATAGGGTCATGATTGTTGAGGTCAGGTTTTGGGCCAAAGTTAAGAAAAAACTTGTCAGAGATTTTCTATTTTGGAATTAATTATAGACAAGGGATTGTGGGCTTATAATTAATTCTTCTCAGGTTGTCATGAGGAATGAGAAAGTATGGTAAAGTTTTCTAACATATCACATGGTAAGTATGTATGCAATCTCAATTTGGAACAAAATACAATGTCCAAGGGGGTGGATTTTTGGCTTTAAGGAACAAAGTTCTTACAGTGGACAAAGTACTGCTTTGGAACCAGCTACTTTGGGGAGTTGTATACAACCAGAGGTTGAAGGTGCCTTAGAAGAATCTTCCTGTGGTGGGCGGGTGACAGAATTCATTGCTTATGAACATTGGCTGCATATAATTTCCCTTTTCATGTATCAGAGGGGAAAGACAAAAAATGGTGTGTGTGTATGTATGTGTGCCATGGGATTATCATACATTTCTTTATATTTATAATAATGTAATAAATATCATACTGTATACATCTTTGTTCACATTTTGATTATTTTCTCAGATTTATTAAAGGGGAATTACTAAGAAAAGGATATGAACATCGTAACAACTCGGGACCCATTAGGATTAGAATTTTGTCACAATTATCCACAAAATCATGCTTGGAGGGCATTTAAACTCAGAATCTCATTTAAAAAATTAGTCTTGAGAATGACTGAGCCCACACTTGGGTTGACTATAGATTTCCTCCCAGTCCACTTGGATTCAGTGTGATGACACTTCTGAAAATCACAGAATTTCTGGGCTAACTCTTCAGGTCCTTATTAATGAGGATGTGGTGGTATCCCCCAATGTGGCACTGGAGATGGCATCATCTGCTTTTTCTCATCTGCAGTATCTTCTATGTGGTGTCCCATGCTGCCTGGTCCAGCTGTCTGTGCTAAGTGGGCGGGGTTGCTACTGGCTTTGAGTTTTCATGGCTAATTCCAATACCTGTGGCTTTGATAATTTTCCTGGAGAGCTTGGGTTTGCCTGTGCAGACTGTAGCTTTCTCCGACCTCATAACAGTGATTCCCTGCCTTCTGTCTAAGATTACACTCATTCTGAAGTCCATTCTGGTGTCAAAGACCTTTTGTTATGCAGTGTCCCTTCCAGTGTGGTGGCGTCTTAGATGAAAATGAATCCCATGGGCAACACCATGATACTTCCTGTTTAATATCTCAATGCTGTGGCAGCTGCAGCCATGTGAAATATTCCTGTTTCATCATGTTGTGCTAACATCATGTGCTTCTAGTGATGACCCCTGCCTCCTCCCAGGCAGGGCACATGGTCAGCCAAGTCTACCTGTGCTAGTGGTGCACATAGTGGGGGCTTCACAGCAAATGTCTGTTGAGTGATTATCACAATCATAGGCAGACAGTGGGACAAAGATGACATAATCCATACCCCCAGACCTCAGACTCCTAGTGTACCTCCACCTCCACCCCAGGATCCCTTCACATCCCCCTCCACCCCCAGTTCTGTCCGTTAGAACTGGCTTTTTCTGAATATGAAAGTTTCCAGGAGTCGGCCCCTGATCTGCTTGGTGCGGACCCCATAGATGAGGGGGTTGAGCGCAGGTGGAAGCAGCAAGTAGAAATTGGAGAGAAGAATGTGCACAGGCTTTGGGACGGTGTGACGACCAAAGCGATGTGTGAGGTAGGAGAAGAGACCAGGCACGTAAAAGGCCAGAATGACACAAATATGAGAACTACATGTACCAAAGGCCTTCGCACGGGCTTCCCGGGTAGGCAGCTGCAACACAGCATGGGCAATGAGTCCATAAGAGCCAGTGATACCCAGAATATCCACACCTGACACAGCCAGTGAAAGTGCCAGCCCATACAAGTTGTTGGCCCATGTATTACCTACCACCAGCTCTACCACTGCCATGTGTGCACAGTAGGCATGGCCTATGGTCTTGGCTCGGAAGTGCTCAAATCGTGCCACCAGCAGAGGGAAGGGCACAACAATAGCCACAGCTTTCAGTGCCAGTGCCAGGGCAGCATAGCCTACACGGGCTTTGGTGACTAGGATAGGGTAGTGCAGTGGACGCCCTACTGCCACAGCACGATCACAGGCCATGGCCAAAAGCACACCAGATTCCATGGCAGTCAACGCATGTACAAAGAACATCTGGACCAGGCAGGCAGCATATGGCACAGGTTGGGGTCCAAGCCATAGCACAGCCAGCAACCCTGGGGCTACAGATGTGGCTAAGCCCAGGTCTGTGGCTGCTAGTGTGACCAGGAGTAGAAACATGGGCTGGTGCAACACAGAGTCTATCCATACCACTGCCAGCAGTGCTCCGTTGCCCAGCAGAGCCAGCAGATACATGGGCCCAAAGACCAGTGTCAGCCAGGTCTGGGCACTTCTTAGCCCTGGAATGCCAGTCAGTATGAAGAAGGTTGGGTGTAGGAAGGTGGAGTTGGGCTGTGATGTTTCTGCCATTTTGTGGTGGGCAAAGCTTTAGGGATCATGGAGGCATGACTCCTGATAAAGGGAGGACAAGGAGAGAGATTTTGGGGGTGTCACAGTGGCACAAACCCACCCATGGGGTATGTGTAGGGGTAGTGCAGGGCTGGAAGGATCACAAGGTTATAACCTTCGGGTGGGGGTTTTGGATGGATAATTAAGGTCACAACTCTAGCTAGGATGGGAGAATCGTTTGCTCCTAAAAGCCCCATGCGTATTGTAGGGGGAGGAAGCAGGGAACAGAGGTAGTGAGGAAGGGGTAGTGAAGTAGGGGTGACTTCTGCAGCAGCTGGTACAGCCAGAGCCCTCCAATTGGAGGTCAGCTGAGGGTGGAGCTGAGATAAATGTTTTTCTTCCTCAGGGTCCAAGTACAGTCAGTCTCAGTCTCTGTATATAGGGAGAAAGCCAGTGCTGGTTGAGAATGAGGTCTTAGGCTGCCCTGTCTCTGACAGTGTATCCTTGGGTGGGACCTCTGGGCCTCAGTTTCTTCAGCTATATAGTGGGGCTGGGCACCATGATCTTAAGTGTCGCTCAGCTCTAACATTTTGGACACCAACCCTTTAAGAAGAAAGGAGGCAGAGTAGAAAGAAAGGTAGAAACAGTAGTGGGAGGCAGATGGGATCTGGAGTGAAGGTGGGGCATGGTGTGGCAGAAGAAAACTTGGTGGGTTTTTGGGGTGTGGGGTGCTTACGTTATTCTGAACTTGATGCTGAAGTGGTGGACTTGAACACTAGCTGGAAGGTTGAAGTTGGGGCTGGGGAGCAATGGAGAAAGACAGATGGCAGCAAGAAAAGGAACTTACTTTCTCTCCTTCATAATCCAGAAAGGGATCCCACTAGATTTTCATTCCTGGGGTACCAGAGGGGGTGATACATGGGGAGAAAATGGCACTCAATCCAGAGTAGCAGCCACCTGAAGAAGCATCTCTGATGTTGGAAGAGGCAAGGCAAGTAGACCAACTCCTCCCAGAATCTAGCCCACAGCAGAAGCTTAAAAAATGTTGAATAGATAAAAAAATGAGGAAGAAATCTCCAGCAGAAGATTGGACTGAGGAAAGATCTTGAGCACTGTGTGTTGGCAGTTTCTCTTTATCTTGACCAATGCCTGTGGGGCCCTTTATCAGGCTGTTCTACCTGCTTCCCTCAGGACCCTTCTCCCTCCCACCTGTGCCACATTAACTCTTCCCTGTTCTGCTGCTTTGCTTAATGCTGATGGGCCAGTAACTCAGAAAGTAGAGTAAGGAGGCAGAGATGGGTGCAAGCAAGGAAAGAGTATGGAGTAGAAAGATCTGGGAAAGAGGAACACTTCCTCTGGGAGATCTTTGCTGACTCCCTGATGTCCAGGAGAAAATTAATTAATTAATTAATTAATTAATCTGTTGCCCTGGCTAGAGTGCAGTGGTGTCATCATAGCTCACAGCAACTTCAAACTCCTGGGCTCAAGGGATCCTCCTGCCTCAGCCTCCCGAGTAGCTGGGACTACAGGCATTTGTGACCACACCCAGCTAGTTTTAAAATTATTTTTTGTGGAGGCAAGGTCTTTCTATGTTGTCCAGGCTGGTGTTGGACCCCTGGGCTAGAGCGAGCCTCCCCCAAAGTTCTAGGATTATAGGCATGAGCCACTGTGCTGGCCTCCTTTGTTCTTCAATAGCATCTATTGTCCCACTCTATTGTAATTACTTGTCTGTTTCTTTCCCACTAGACTGAAATTATTAATCACAATATCTTCACTGCTTATCACAATGCCTGGCATATAGTTGTCTATGAATAACTAGAACTGCTAGCCCAAATAGCCTCTGCTCACTAACAGGGGTTCCTACAGTTTCAGGAGCCTTAGGTATCCATGGAGAAGAGAAAGAATTATTTACCATCAACCACAAATCTACTGAATACAGTTCTGTCTATTATAAGGAGACATATCCTTAAATCACCACATTATGCAAAATCATGCAATAAAAAAAACACAGGGCTTATTGGGAAAATGGGGGTAGGGGAACAACACTCAAAAACTTAACATTTCAAAAAAGACAGGAACCTAATAAAATTGGTAGCACTAATTTTCACATGTTAAATGGTTAGAAAGTACATAAATAGTGCAATAAATATGACACTTTGCCTTGAAAAAGATCTGGAGTTTATTCTGTGGAAGCAAGTGTTGGAAGCACCTTGTGAATTATTGTGAAGCAGTGAAGGAGGCTTGTCTGACATTGGGTGAAAAGTAACACTAGATTTGGGTGGGTGTGGCACATAAGTGGTGAACTGAAGTAGCTGATAGATATTCGAGGTGTGTGCATATTAGACTTTCCTCCTCAGTTGAGTTCAACTGTGTATAGTTTTCTGTGTTCACTAGTTCTTGAAAATGAAATCACATAAAAGCAAACATGAGATTCACATCATCTGAGTTCCTTAATGCATACTTCAACTGTGTTTGAACAAATTTTCATTTTTTTTTTTTTTTTTTTTTTTGAGACAGAGTCTCACTGTGTTGCTCGGGCTAGAGTGCCGTGGCGTCATCCTAGCTCACAGCAACCTCAAACTCCTGGGCTCAAGCGATCCTCCTGCCTCAGCCTCCCGAGTAGCTGGGACTACAGGCATGTGCCACCATGCCTGGCTAACTTTTTTTTTTGTATTTTTAGTTGTCCAATTAATTTCTTTCTAATTTTAGTAGAGACGGGGGTCTCGCTCTTGCTCAGGCTGGTTTCGAACTCCTGAGCTCAAACAATCCGCCCGCCTCGGCCTCCCAGAGAACTAGGATTACAGGCGTGAGCCACCGGGCCCAGCCCAAATTTTCATTTTAAAACCAGCATTATAGCAGAACTCATTGAATCTCTTTTGTGCCTGACCCTGTGCCATGTGGTGAGGATACAGTGGCAATAACAAGACTCTGCTTCCCTCAAGGAGTTCACAGTCTAGCAAACACAGTAATGTAAACAGTAGCTGAAAGACTATTAAGGTAATTGTACTAACTCAGGTCAATACCAGATATGAGGGCAGTACAGAGAAAGAAGGCTTTCACTCTCCTGGAGGAGTCAGGGAAATCTCCGAATCACTGTAATGGCTGACAGTCCCATGGAGCTTCTTAGGTGCATGTACTGCTCTAAGCCCTAACCTCGCAACAGTCATTTGAGGTGGGTATAGTTCTTTCCCCCATTTTAAAGACAAAGAAACAAAGGCACAGAGATTGCCCAAGGTCACATAGCTAGTAAATAGCATAGTTAGGATACTAACTCAAACAGTTTGACTCTAGCATACTTGATCTTAGCTACTTCAAAGATTTCAGCTGACAGTTAGCACATGAGTAGGAATTTTTAGAATAGTTGGGACAAAATGCATCTGTTCTGGGAGAAGACATTCAGGAGACTTTGGGATTGGCAGGTGGTGCTAAGATTTCTGAATAGAGAGGTGTAGAAAGAGCTACAATTATTTGGCATTGGTTGGTGATCTCTCATCCATTGAGGGAGGAGAGCAGCACTTGGGAAATGGGAGCAGTGGGTTGAGAGCTGTGAGGAGAGGATTGTCAAGAAGTGCTCTCAGCCTCAAGAGGACACTAATGGGACTTTTGGCTGTCTCAGACACTTGCTCCTTGTGCAAACTGTTCATTAGATAAATCACAAAGCCCTTAAATGCAACAAGTCCAAATTTAAGGTCATTAAGTTCTTGGAAATCTACAGTATTCTACATTTCCTACTCTGCAGTAATCCAAGATACATGGGAAGATACCATTGACTCTGTCTCTAGAAAATTCCTTTGTTGGTCCCCCAGACCTTAGTCCATACTTATAGAAGCTCTCTGAACATATGGGGGGCAGTAACTGGCTGGTCTTTTCCTGCAATATTGGCCATTACGGTGGGGGGGGGATTTGACAATACACCTGTGACCTTATGGGGCTATGTGCCAGCTCTCCGCAAGAAGTGTGGTGGAGTCGGGGGAGGGAGGCTTACTGGACCTATCAGTTGCTTCTAGGCTGGCATGGAAAATAGGACAGGAGGGTTCTTTTTGGAGATTGACCCTGATTTTTCTCACTTTCTTGGCTAATGAAGCCACCACCAACATCTTCTATAGAATAGAGTTCTCAGATACCAACTTGTATCCGTGTGCACCTGTTCTATGGTTTTCCATTTAAAATGGTCCATAAGCAACAACACATGAGAGTATATTATCCATTTACACAATAGGCAATAGGTTATAGATCAGACGTTCTTAGGTCCTAGTGGTGTCACACTGCACTGAATGCTCTTCTAGAAATGTACTAAGGCAAATTCTCAATTATCAAATCTCAGTTCCCAGGTCAGTAAGACCTCTTTGTGAGTAGTGTGGCACCACAGTAGTCCAGGCCTCACCTTCCTTCAGTTTCAGGGGTGGTAGAGGGATCCTGTAAGATCCGGTTGCGCTAACTTACAGAGATTTTGAAGGATTCATGGAACCACCATGCTCATTGTGTCTTCTAGCTTTACTTTCTCCCCTCCATCTTGGGCTTCCCAGTCCTTCTGTGAGAAAGTCCTTATTATTCCATAAAGTTTGGAGCACTGGGAGTCCTCAGTTCCTAGGATAGTAGATGTGCTAGATGTGCTAGATGTGCTTGCACTGAGGTTGTAGATTTGAGAGAGGAACTGTTCTCCCACTCTTTAGTATAGGATGTGGTAGAAGTCAGGCTATGGTAGGGGTGTGGAATAGTCCACATCAATGCTCCTGTAATATTGTCTGCTCTTCTTATTCATTTCTCCTTCCTCTGCAATAGGGTCATTCTTTCCAGTCCCAGCATCTTTGGGGCTGATACCAGCTTTGCCCCTAGTTAGCCTTGACTCCACTGTCCTGCTTACTGCAGTCACAGTTGCCATCCTTGTCACCAAGGTGACTCTATACCTGTAATATTGGTTTAGGACCCTGAAACCTCCTTACCTTATCCAATCATTCTTTTCCTTTAATGTGAGGCATGGAAAAGGTATTTTTTGACTAAGCCTCTCTGACCAATAACGGCTGAGGAGAAGAGTTCTGGGATCGTCTTCCAAGGCTTTTTTTTTTTTTTTTTTTAAATAGAAGACAAGCGTTA